TTACTTATTTTCAAAAGTAATTAACTACTTTATTACTTCTATTTATTATGCATAATACAATTGAAAAATGAAAATCAAATGAAAAAGTCTCTCTTTAAAAATTGCTTTATGAGTTTTAATCTTTTAACTTTATGCACATTGCATCAAGCAAAAATTAAATTATATGTTACTGTCTTTGTCTTGAAGAAATGTATTTAACATTTAAACCTATTTTCTGCTTATTCCACCATATAAAATAAAATAATGGTTTGTTTGAATTCACTCTTTCAAATAGATGCAAGTAAAACACAGCAAAAAGTAAATAAAATCAAAGACTCAGCGTCAGTAAGTCCTGTCTCTCTTAAATCTACTGTCACCTGTTTAGCAGGAGTGGGGCCGGTGGAGGTTTGCCTGGTGCTGCAGTGGTCATGTCAGTGGGGGGATCTGGGAGTTTCTCTGTGAATTTCACATTCCTTTGGCAGCGTGCTAGGTTGTTACGTCTGTTGCTGCCATAGACATTATACGCTCGTACGTCATTGTCATGAGACACTCTCACAAGCAAAATCATGGTTTAATAACACAGTAATGCAGCGTGCTTACGGGAAAGTAACAGTAATCTAATTATTTTTTTTGCAATAGTAATCCCTTACTTTACTAGTTATCTGAAAAAAGTAATTGGATTACAGTAACGTGTTACTATTAACATGTTACTGCCCATCTCTGGTAACAAGTGGGAATTATCACTGCTTTGCTCTTTACTGTTGATGCTTTTCGTTTTCTCAGTTCGTGTTCCAAAATAATTTGAATCTGCTTTCAGGGAAAGCACCTCCTTCACTGAAAAGAAGCTGGTGGAGACCAAAACAGAGCTAAAATGGGGGCAATTATGACTTATGCGCATAACAGTTAATAATTCTACTAATGGATGTCTAAATGATAACTAAAATCATTTTTTTATATATTCTTTTTTACCCTCTAGTGAAGAACAATAAAACGACCTATCTATAAGAAGTAGGTCTTTTTATTGTTCTTTATAATGTCAAATCATATTCAAAGCAATGCTACGCTTCAAAGTCACAATCGCCCATGTAAACATAGCTGTCGGGGTAATGTAATGGTATAAAATCCCCCTGAAATGTGGCGAAGCATACGGAAGAAGTCAGGTACTGTACTTACTTTTCTCATCTCGTAATGGCATTACTAAAACTAATATATCAGAAGAAATCTGGAAACCACTGCAGCAGCGTCAATGTCAGACTACATTTGGGAAACCTTTTGGCAAAATCATCTGCTCCTGAGTAGAAATCCAAGCGTTTGTGGGCAGGAAGTGAAATTAGACTGTACTTTGTCAGGAATTCCTGTCGTATCTGTCTGTCCTCGGACAACTTTGCTTTCAAGGTGTATTTCCTCTAAAACAATTTTCCATTGTTTGCCAACAGGTTTCACATTTCACCACAAACTCTCCCGTGTGTTTGTGTCCTTTGTCCTGCCTGAAGCACTTTGCGGCCTGTTTGTTAAAAGCACTTTATCGCTAAATTTGACTTGGCACGTCTTGGCAGGAGAGATTGCAGCTGATGAGACTCCTGACCTGCAGATAAAGCATCCATTAAGTGTCTTGTCTGGAGCAATTCAGTACTCTTAACCTATTAGCATATTGTTAGCCATTTGTGAGATGGTGCAGCCGTGGATACGCACTGCTGTGCTGCAGCCAGTCACCACACCATAAAGAACCACCTCTCACTCTGCTGCTAAATGTCGTCTCCGACATTGTAATGCTCGCCGACTGTCCTCTGCCAGATGATTCAAATGACCGCTAAAAGCCCGAGGGAGGCAAAAAAGGGGTCCAAAATGCAAAATTGATGGAAATGACATTAGATTCAGCTCATGCTCCTCACTGTGTAAATTATGCCCCAAAATGGACTCTCTGGCCCGACTGTTAGCTCCAATTTGTTGGGCCATACCTCATGGTGGCTTGCCTTGCCCTTCCCTTCTCCCTTTAATCCAATCAAAGCCACGCTGGATGTTATTTATTTGTTTATTTATTTATTTTCAAAGGATGTAACCGATTCTTATCAAGGCAGAAGTAGGGCCTTCTTCCTGGTGAAACAGTGACTAACGTCCAGCCATCGATCTGTCAGTTTGTCTGCGGTGGCGGGTGATGCGTCTGGTGATAGAAGACTTTTTCTGCTTGTGTTTTTATGTGCGAGTGTGCAACAGAGTCATCAGTGCACACATTGTTTTCTTTTTTTAATGTTCTAGATTGCATTAAAAGATGTCGATTTTGAGATTATTTCATTTCTCACTTGTTTATTTTAATGTATTCTAGAAATGAAACGACTTTTTTTACACATTCAGGCATTTACCTCAAGCACTGCCATAAAGATTGTCTCCTTAAAAAAACATAAATGCATGAAATTGCAAATCTTTGATTTAAACTGACCTTCAAAGCACATCACCTCACAGGTGTTGCAAAAGTCGATTCACTACAGTAAGCTAATTGAACGACTTCTTGAGTGGATGATTGTGTTCTTGTCTGTGGCAACCTTAACCTCCTCTTAACTGTTTAAAATTAAATTTGATATTGATGTTGGTACCAATATCGGCTTTGTTGGCTGATATTTACATCAGATATTTCTTCGTTGCTAGTGGTGAAGTGTTTAAACATAGTGTGATGAAGAAGATATATATATTTTAAAGCATTTAGATGTTTTAATAGATAATAATTAAAATTTAAAAACTAAAATTTCTTGGCTTCAGGTATCTGCATCATTTATTTTAATGTTTAGAATAAGTATGAACATCCGTTGCAACGTATTATCTTTAGATCAGCTGTTAATTAGGTCACAGTTTTGGTAAAACCTTAAATCATTTTCTCAAGATATTTTAAATACATGGTTACCCAATTCCTGCATAATATTTCTATTAACAATAATGGAAACAAAAATTCCACCCTTATGTCAGTTTTCAGTGTGTCTTATCAGGAAAAGGACACGTGGACATTGGATTTTAAGTTCGTACTAATTAGAGATGGGCAGCAACGCTAATTCGATTACTTTTTTCAGTAATGAGTAAAGTAAGGGATTACTACTGCAAAAAAAGTAATTAGATTACTGTAACTTTCCCGTAAGCACACTGCATTACTGCGTTTCAAAACCGTAATTTTGTTTGTGTCTCATGACAATGACGTAGGAGCGTGCAAAGTCTGTGGCAGCAACAGACGTGCAGATTAACAATGGATAATATGGAGTGCGGGAGAGAGTACGACCATCCAGCATCTAAAGCGTGGACGTACTGACATTCCTTTGAGTTTGATTCCTTAAAAAGTGAGAAAAACATTAGCGTCCGCTGTACACCCTGCATGGGAAGAAAACTTCTTTCTACAGCGAAAAATTAAACTTAAAATCTGAGCAAGCACCTAGCACGCTGCCAAAGGATGTGAAATTCACAGAGAAACCCTCAGATCCCCCCACTGACATGACCACTGCAGCACCAGGCAAACCTCCACCGGCCCCACTCCTGCTAAACAGGTGACAGTAGATTTAAGAGAGACAGGACTTACTGACGCTGAATCTTTGATTTTATTTACTTTTTGCTGTGTTTTACTTGCATCTATTTGAAAGAGTGAATGCAAACAAACCATTATTTTATTTTATATGGTGGAATAAGCAGAAAATAGGTTTAAATGTTAAATACATTTCTTCAAGACAAAGACAGTAACATATAATTTAATTTTTGCTTGATGCAATGTGCATAAAGTTAAAAGATTAAAACTCATAAAGCAATTTTTAAAGCATTTGATTCAATTGTATTATGCATAATAAATAGAAGTAATAAAGTAACTAATTACTTTTGAAAATAATTTGATTCAATTTTATATGATGGATTGTGCAGAAATTGGGCTGAAAGGTCTATTGCTGTAACTAATTACTTTTGAAAATAAGTAATCAGTGAAGTAACTGGATTACTTTCTTGGAGAAGTAATCAGTAATTAGTAACTGTTTTCAAGTAACTTGACCAACACTGGTCCTGATTATAGTTTGTATCATCTTAATTGTGCTTCATGTTTTTTCTTACCCTCTGCACCCAGATAAAGTTTTTATGTACTGCTATGTCCTGGTTTTTATCAGGGTTTCATTGCCATGCTTATGAAAAGCAGGAAATACGGTAGTTTTTAAACATAGCTGAGATATGTATACCAGTGCAGTGACCACTTTCATTTGTTTCCTAGTAATCAATATATATATATAAATAAATAAACATAGAGAATTATTCAAAATAAATTACACTTTTCTTTTTTAAAGAGATGATATAGTGTGATTTTTTTTTTTTTTTTTGCTCCTGCTTAGATCATTTACATCACACATTTTTTTTCTATACTCTGCAGTCGGAGCAGGGCAGCAGCGGCCTGATGTTACACCACTAAATTAAAAAATCCCGCCCCCATTGTAAATATCAACTTCCCCTCCTCTGCAATTTTGTGGAGGTCAGTTGAAGAAGCACAGATGTAAAGACTTGAATAAATGGCAGCTGAGTTTCATGTAGCTGCTTCAGATTCACTCCGGTTAACCTGTGGCATCAGTTCCTGCTATCACCTGTGAACCGCTCCATGCTCCAAACTGTAACATAGGTATGGTTTCATTTTACAATGAACACAAGTTATAAACCTAAAATCAACATAATGGCTTATAGTTTGGTATTAGTTTGCCCAGTGTCACAGTAAAGGGTTCTGTATTGAACTGAAATTGATTACCTTTCCAGTATTTAGAGATAAACCACAACACTAATAGAATGCAGTTAAATGCTGTGTTGTAACTCACAGCCTTAGTTTGAAAATGTTAAAATTTTCATCATTTGCATAACCAAAACCACAAAACTCTTTGTTATTATCTTGACTTGTGGTGTTTTTGATTAGTGTAGCTGTCAAAGTCCATGAAGCTTCAAAGCTTCAGAGAGCAAAAAAAATACCATCAGCATTAAGTGAGGCTTGGATGCAGACTGACCACTAGGTGGTGATGCAGGATGGGCTGAAGCAGCTTAAATCCTGATGATGCTTCATTTGTTTTGTTTTTTTATACTGAACTTTTGTTTTTGCTTTTATATTTACTCTATTTCAGCATTAAACAAACCTTTCTAAATACCTGATTATAATCTATTTTTTCAAGAAAAGACAAAACATAAATATTTCATTCCGTTACTGAGTATCTGTGATTTTGATCAAGCAGATGTAAATGAAAAAACGTCAATAAAAGGCGCTCAGTGTCTGGGTGGTGATATATATATATTTCTCATGGTTTACAAATAACTTTTTTTTTGTTTGTTTTGTTTTTTAGATGCGGCATAGTACATTACACATTATTTCCATACAGCAGAATAAAATAAATATATTGCACTTAAAAATCATCAAAACACAATCTCACTGGGTGTATTTGGATTATGGCATTAAAAACAAAACAATTTCAAAAACAAATCATTTTCAGTGGTGAATTGCGACTCAGAGGTGTTAAACATTTACATCAACATGGAAATCACCATTCAAGGAACAACAGAAAAGGACTTTGATTTCCACAACACGTACATTTCCCCGTCTTGCTCACTACACAGCTGAGATAAAATCAAGTACTGCCAACTCTTACACCCATGTTCTGCTGCGTTAGGCTACATGTGATGTTAATATATGGTATGAGTCAAACTGGGACATTTACAGTGTTTGTTTAACCAACTCATGTTGCTCTTTAAGCTTAATTTCAATCTTTTCTCTGTGCTGATCGCTGTGCAACTGCAGAGAAGTGTTAAACGGACACCTTTAATCAAAATACACAAAATAAACCAAACAAAAAAACTCCATCCATACCGCACATTTTATCAGTAGTGATGGGATTATTCTTTTTATTTTTTGAGTTCATCTTTAAAATGAAAGTCTGTACCACAGCACAGGTTGAACTAATCGAACTGTTAAGGTAAATCGTTTCACTTTTTGAGTACAAACTAATTTGATTTTTCTGGCATAAAGGCTCAGATTACATTGATGTCAGTCTGCATATTGGCCTGGATGATTTATCATCAACTGCAGTTTTTAGGACTCAGTTATAGACCACAGATACTGGCTAAAATGACTTTGTTGTGTGTCATCAGAGCTTTTAAAATAAATGACTGTAACCGAGTGTGTGAGCCAACTTCCTCATTTCTGCATGCTTTAAATGAGACCCAAGAGCCAATATTTCCAGCTGTGTCTTGTCACCACATACACACATTCAGCCTCTGTAACACCCAATGAAGACAGACCACCAAAAGGCTGAAAGCAAGGAGGAGTCGGGGTTTATATTTCTACTGTACATTTCACGCTGTTTTATGTGCCTTTTGATATAAAACAGACTACAGTGAATGAGTCGTAATTCAGCCCATTAGAGGCCAGTCAGAGTAGATTTATAAGGGCCACTCAACCACTTTCACTAACCTAAGCAAATTAATATACAGCTATATAAAAAAAGGTGTCATTGAAGTGATTTTAGTTAGAGTCCAGTCACTATACAAAGATAGTGAAATTCATTAGTCTGAGTGAAATCATTCTTAAACTTTCGTCAAACCAAGCGTACTTTCTCGACTCCACAGAGATGAGCAAGCACGGCGTGTTGGATCGTTGATTTCAGATGTCAAGGACAAGTTACTGAGCTACACTGTATGCTGAAGTAAAGTTGATCAGGTAATTAAAAAATGAAATGCTGAAGAACTCGATGTTATGACACTTCTATCACAGATAAACGTGGTGATTACGAGGCCATGATAGCTTTGGGTTATCTCCACCTCTGTCTAGAAAGTTTGCTGTTGGTCTGTGGTGGGACTTGTGTTAAATTCAAAGATGAATCTTAGATTAAAGGTCTGCATGTGTTTACCATGGACGTGTCATAAGAACTGGAATAAATTGAAGTGCCAAAAACTGCAGTTCCCTAAATGGCCACTTGAGGCTTGTTGCTAAAGTGAGTCAGTGCTGACCCAGGTTAAAATGCCCAACTTTACAGGAGAATTAAACAGGTGATAAAAAACTGTTTATGGCCTCTGTAGCTAATTTCCCCTTTCATGACAACTGTTGTGCAAGTGAACTGTTATGTAACTCAACAATTTAGACTGTACTTTGTCTTGAAGTTACACATAATTAAAAGTGACTCCTCTGAATGACACTTGAGTGCCATTTTTTTTAGGAATACTAAAATATGAGGAAAATTGCCTAAAAATGCCAGAAAGATCTTCTTGCTAGGATCTTTTTCAAATCACCTCTAGATCACTGATTAAACACTATTTAAACAAACAGCAATCATATTAACCTTCAGTTTCAGGTGTCTATAGAGATTTAAACGGGCACCAAGAAAAAAAATCAGCAGTAGTAGCATGGTATCCAGCTCTTTCGATACATCTGTGGTTTGAGCAACTTCGCTGCTTCCATTAACTGGTCCTTTAAACAAAGCAAAAAGCACCTTTTCATTATTTTTTTTTTGGCTCATATTTTTCCATATAAAGTGTGTATGTCTACTGCGGTCAGCATGCGTCCTATTATTTGTTTAACTCCACAGTGACAATTTTCCTATGAGTAAATGTAGCACGTTTGCCTTTGTACAATGCATTTTAACATGTTTTTTGACATTATTTTCGAAACACTGTGGGTGAAACAGTGTTAAGTTCTAACTTTCAACTGTACATATGGCTGGTTTTCTCCAAAACAGAGGAAACCTGAGATGGCTGCTCCGGCTTGATGACATGCTGAAATGTTCACAGACTGAGCCTCGGTGTCCATCCGGTGGAGTTGTGAGTCATTTTGGAGAACCTCAGAATTGCCTGCCATCTTTAGAGCCGGTCGAGCCCCTGCTACCATTAGTGCCTGTTTAAGGGAAGACAGGGTTTTCTACTTGTTTCTTTAAATAAGTCAAAGATCCACTTTCTGTTCAAGAAGGGCCAAGATCAAACATGCTCCTGTTATCACCTTGCATTAGATTTTTTAGTTTGTATTGAGGTCACAAGTGTTTGTACAGTGTCTTTTAAGCATTCGTAGAAACCACAGGACCTGCTGGTGTTTCCGCAGGTCCAAAGGATGGCGCCACAGTCCTTTTTTGATTGGCTGTCAGTACACCTCATCCTCTTTATGTCACGACCGTCACCTCACTTACTGTAGGTGAACTATTTACAAAGACCGAAAGGAAAGATACAAACTGGATGAGGAGTGAGGAAAGAGCTTGATGCTCCGAAACACGGGTGAGTGTCAGAGCGAGGTTCATCCATCTCCTCCCCAAGATGGAGTCATACAAATGGTGTCATCACAGTGGAGGAATGGCGGAGTCCCTGGATGGCAGCATAGGGGCCCTGCTGGAAGTAGTGGTGGTAGCGTGGCATGTGGAAGGTTGGGAAAGAGGGGCCGCTGCCTTGCATGGTTCCAGCCAGAGCGGTGGGTGTCAGCGGCATGCCCAGTCGGCTGTAAGGGGGCAGGGAGCCCTGGATGGGGTGGGGCAGGGGAGCAGTGCCGGTGCCCATGGCCGATAGCGACTGTGGGTGCTGAAAACCTGAGAAACCTGAAGTTGTGGTGACCCAGGAACTCAGGGAGAGGTTATCTGAGGCGGTGAACGCTGAGCCTACAAGAGACAGATGAATGTCAGTTCAGTTGGGATACAAATAGATTTCAGAAAAAGGCTCACATAAATGTAATAAAACTGGATTTAAACCAACTTTAAATTCCTGTCATGGTCTCTGGGATTTTTGTACTACATCTGCTGTATTAGTTTGTTTTGCCATCTTTCTAGTTTCCCTGATCTACTTTATTCTCCTGCATCTTTCATTATGTAAAGTGTTTGTCTTCATGTCTCAGTATTAGTTATTTATACTGTGATACTTCCTGCTTTGTTTTAAAGGTGAGTTTCTTGTTCTAGTTTTATTTTCTGCCTTTTTTGTTACTTAGCTGCTTGTTTTTTGGATTCCTGCTTTGTGTAGACATTGCAGTCTTATTCTTTTCAGTTATTTTTGGATGTTGCATCAGCTAAAATGAAGTCCTCTCTCCTGACTCTATGACGTTATAAAGCTCCAAAGAGAGCTGATGAAGAGAATGATGAGTTTCTATTTTATATGGAAGATGGAAAAAAAAGGAAATGAAAGAAATCTACTAAATATAATGCTTTCACAGGATCTGTGGTGTCTGCATTTATGAGCGTTTACCTCTGGTGTGTGACGCGTGTCCGTCCTCGCTCAGGTTCTCCTCGTCACCCGCGTAGGTTCGGATCGGCGACCGGGCGTATGAGTGCTTGTGGATCAGATTCTCAACACTTTCCCTACAGCAAAAGCCGAAGAGAGAGCCCCAAAATAAATCTCTTTTTGTCATTTTAAATATTTTAAAAGACATTTTTTATTTGATGAGATGCAGACTTAACAAAAAAGAAACTATTTCACTTTTTTTTGTAAAACATAATTTTTAGAATATTTGATTAGGAGCTTAATAAAATAGTTGCAAAATAGTTTTGTTGAATAGTTTTGATAGAAACTTCAATTATCCATTAATGTCTGACAACATAAAACAGATACAACATCAAGATCAGAATAAAAAAAATTAAAACGAGTTGGGTTTTTCACCTATAATCTAATGTGATAATGTTCAGGGGTTAGTGACACTGAAACTGACAGGTCACAGATTTATTTTTAATACCAGTGCAATTTTCTAGTATCTGCCTTTTGGTCCATTCTTTGTTTCTGTGCAGTAACAGGATCTTTCCTCTTTACGTGATGTTTTTTTGGCAGCATGTTTAAGTGTGAATTTCCCTTTTGTGCATTTTAACGTTTGTGTTGACTGTGCATGTAGATTTTGGTTTGTGTGTTCGTCTTCTGTGTGTGTTTACTATCCAACAAAGTGCATTAGCTCATTTGAGTCTTGTCAGACAGCACTTCTCAAACACAGTGACACAAATTGTTGCGGGGGGGCGGGGGTAGTGAGTGTTCACGAGTGCGTGTGCATGGCTGGGTGGACAGGCAAGTGGTCTGCATCACGAGAGCCATGCGTTCACATTAGCAGCCCCCCTCCTTGCAGCCCCTTTGCCTCCAATTAGGTTAGGAAAGTGCAATATCTGTCAGCAGAGGAGTACAAATGTGTGTGTTTTTATCAGCGTCGGGCCCCTCCGGCAGAGGGGCCACCGTGAACTCCCACAATACGCAGCATCAGGCGGGAGGCAAACAAGGAGGGGAAGAGGCGGGGCATGCTGGTTTCAATCAGTCATTGCAGCCAATTGAATTACAGTGTGTTTTAGTGCAGTGGCCGACTCCAGACTAATGTGATTTCTGCAGCTCCCTAAGATCAATTGATCTGGTCTAATTCACAGCCCTCAAAAAAGAGAAAGACAGAGGAGAAGAAGGAGGGAGGAGTGTTTGTCTGGCTGTTTTTCGACAGTCTCTGTTTGGGATATTTGATTGAAGGAAATGGGCAGATGGTCTGATTTTGTCAGCTGATTTTGGCCGTAGTGCCGGAATCGGGAATTACGAGAAATGTGTGTTTTGGCAGCGTTCATAAAAAAAATCCTTTGGAGGGGTGATTTATAACTCTACGTGTGTGTGTGTGTGTGTGTGTGTGTGTGTGTGTGTGTGTGTGTGTGTGTGTATAAAGGACAGACAAACTCTTCTTGTTCATGCAGAATATAGAGAAATGAAAATAGAACATATAACAAAAGGAAAAGCAAGATAAAAGGACTGGGGGGGGGGGCACAAGTGATGGGGGAAAGAAACGAGGATGATAGCTGGGAGTTTCAGTGTTTAAAATTTGTTTAAGATAAGACAGACAGAAATGAAGAACAAAGAAGCTAAAGAGGGAGGACAGAAAGGGAAGACTGAAAGAAAAAAGAAATACAAGGGAAGGATGATCAAGAAGGTAAGCAAAGAGAATGTGAACTAATAAATAAAAATAGAGACGAGGAAGAAGAAGGATACAACTAATACACAGACTAGAAAAAAACTGGAAAAGAAAAAGTAAAATGAAAATTTTAAAGAAAAGGAAACAATGAAAAAGGATTGAGGGGAATCAAAAAGGGAAAATAAAGAAAAGTACCGAGACCAAGTAAAAGAAAAAAGACAAAACTGGGGAGAAATACATAAACCATTTTTTAAAAAATGGATGAATGAAAATTGAAGCAAAGACAGGGAATAAAAAGTAAAAGGGTTGTATGAAGACACAAGAAAACAAGAATAAAAGATGTGAAAGCAAGAACAGAAAGAATGACAGAGTACAGTATGTGGAGCATGGATTATCTGTTCTCCACTGACACAAACAGAGGGAAATAAACACTCCAGCTTCTGTATTTACTAATGAGCAGCAACTCCGGCTATCTAACACTCCCCCCTAATCGTGTATCTTATCCGCAGCGGTGGGGAGAGAGGTAAACAAACAGTGCAGGACCCAGAATCCCATGTACCTCTCCATGTCCGTCAGCCGCGAGGAGTCCCGGAAACCTTTGGCGAACGGGTTGCTGTCAATCTTCAGTTTGGTTATCTGGGAAAACACAGGAGCCGGAGAGTGAAACGAGTCAGTCAGGTCAGGTTTGACACCTCATTTTATTGTTTTTGTTTTTTTTGAGTCAACATGTCTCTTCACGCTGGTTCTCTGCAGCTACCACATCCACAGAAGCCCAAAGCATAGCCAGGTTTTAAAGCTATTTATATTTTTTAATGTCTGTATGCATGTCTCCTCTTTGTGCTACAAAAGAAGCAGTAAATAAAGGGACACACAGGAAAAGCAGCACAATTTCTCAGCTCTTATTTCATTGACACTTTTACAATTAAATTAATTAAATTCTAAATGACCAGATTTATTTATTTCCACCAGCACAGCACCAAAAGGTTTGCAGGTCACAAAATTTTAATCAATTATTTTAGTTTTATTGGGGAAAACTGTGAGAATTTCACAACTAATTAAAAATCATAGGAAATGTGATTTTCTTATAGAAATTCTGTTCTGGATGAACTTCACCTACTTACAAGGTGCACAAAGAAGGGGATAAAGACAGCAGACAAGCTATTCAGCACTTTCATTATGCAGAACAACTTTGTTATTTGATTTACACATTCAGGTTAGCGTCATGGGGTTTATTACAGATGAAATTTTAAACTGAATAGGTATAGAAACAACCAACTGTATACATGTCCAACACAAACACCCACCAATGAGGCACTAACAAAGATGAGCTTTAATTACGGTATATGGTGTCAATCAAATAACAAAGTTGTTCGCTATATTGTACTGTATATATTATTTACACTATACTGTCTTAAAGGCAGAAGTGGATGCACGCTTGAGCTTTTACCTGGTATCTCTCGATCTTCGTTAGGTCTAAAGTGCACTTTTAATCTCAACCTTTACCCTTTCCAAGGATGAGAAGTCCTTAAATTGCTCAGACAGCACAACTCGCTGTGCTGATAAGGCCCATGTGATACAATCAAAGGCTCCAGATTGACTCTTAAATGGAGCTTGTGGCAATCTTTATAATTTAAAAATTTCATGGGAACCAGCAGCAGATTTTTGGCAGAGTCCTTAAGCCTGCAGGAGTCAACAATCACTCACCAGCTGGTTCTGGTAGGCTGTGACAGCTGTGAAGACAGTCTCAATGAAGACGAAGGTGCGGAACTCCTCAGATTTGAGATTGAGCAGCGAGGCAGTGTGGTCCTTCTTTTTTATGATGTGGACCCGTGGCTGGTATTTGTGCATGGAGTTGAGGATGATCTGCAGAGGACAAGAAGAGCAAGAATTCGTTTACAGTGAAATGTAGATGATGAAGATGATGATGATGATGTGAAAGCTCACTGGAGTCAGCAGAGTGCATCAAGATCAAGTTCAGATATATTCTATTCGATTATGTATTCCATCTCTGCACCACAAAGCACTATTATTGTCCATTAAAACATACCAGGGAGTCATACTGTCGCAGTGACTATTCATTGTGTGAACACACAAACTTCAGTTTACTTTTACCCAATCCAATTCACACCCTTTTGCCGCTGGATATACTCGGCAATCCACAAGCGTTCTATTAATGTGCAGCATAAAATAGTTCCCAAACATTTCATCAAAGTTACAAATATAAAAACCAAATTACACTGACATTTGTGACTCATTTTAAAAGATTTCCACAAAGATGATCCACAAAATGAGAATTGACAAATGTATTTGAGAAAAGATTAATTTGCATGGAGGATAATTTTGCCATTAAAATCATAAAGAAAAAAAAATCATTTTAAGCATTTAGTATAAATTTGAAAGGCTATGAACACGGGGTGTGTAAAGCTAAATAAAGTGAATTTGTATACAAATGCTGAGTCTTTCTTAGCCCCTCCCTGTCATACTGTGGTTTATGTTTTATATATGTAATTTTTTATATGTATATTACATTTGGTTATGATATATTTTCTCTTTTCTTGCTTCTCTTTATTTCCTTACTATGAATTGTAGTTTTGGAAAAATAAAATAAATGAAGTATAAAAAGTATAATGCAATATGAAAACACTGCTTCACAGTAACTGGCTCAAGTATTCACTGTCAGAAAAAAAGGTTCAAGAAGCCCAGAGATGAAAAATTCATTTATACCTGAAAGTGATGTCTTCAAATTGGAAAACGTAATTTTCTGCTACAGGTAATCAAAATTTTATGCCGAATAATTTTGATTTTATAGAATATTATGCACATAACTTCAGTCTTTAAGAGTACAAAGTTATATTTCTGCACCACTTTTTGTTGTTGTTGTTGTTGTTGTTGTTGGTGGTGGGTGTGTGTTCATGTGTATATGTGGGCAATTATTCTGTTTATAAAGTTAAAAATTAATGTTTAAATCGCTTTCTAAATTCTAAATATATAATGTCATTATATTTTTGTGATATTTTAGTAAATTTCAAGTCTTTACCGTTGCTGCTGACCTTTCAAATGATCAGACTTAAGCTGCAGTGTTACAGAAATAATGGCGGATGAGTATATAATGGGAATTTGTGTGCATTCAGTTTATATGATAGCATGAGAAGAATTATTGGGGTAAGAAGCGATATTACTGTTATTTTTTATTTTATTTAAAATAGTCTTGCAATGTATTCTTTTGTATATATTATACGTTGTTAAACGCATGATATGTATTTATATGTATACACTGCATTATTTTTACTGCTGCATTCCACTGTTACTCGGCAGAAGAAAGAATCTGGCAAAACTAAAATAAATAAAAGGAGTGTAGAGCATTTTTAATTTTATGTGCTCATCACATTGTATATTTGTTTTGGAGACATCCACCTCAGTAGATTCAATTGAGGTGCTATTTTTGGACTGAGAAAGTGCACACACCCTTTAAACTAATAATTGCCGCGTTTCCCAGACTGTGCCCTTCTGTTGACTTATTAATGGATGACAGTTATTATTATTATTTTTTCGGCACTGTTCTGGTCTCTGCTTGTCCTTGCCATGATGATGTCAGTGAAGGGAGGATTAAAAGAACAATTTGCTTTAAGTCGTATATTTCGCCTGAAATGAAGCTAGCTTAACTCATTTTCACGGGGTTTCGAAACACTAAAGCCTCCATGATGCTAGATAAATACTTGACGTGTTGTTTCGAGGCAAAAAGATGTGAAGAAAGAAAAGAAAGAAGAAAAATCAGGTGCTCACATGTCCGTGTTGGTCCAGTTCGTTGTTCGTCAGCTTCACTTTCTCAAAGGAAACCATTTGCTTCATCAGCTGCTCGCCGGTGAATGGAGAGTCTGGGTGGACGTACAACCTACGGGGAAAAAGAACAGCACCTCTGATTGGCTGAAAGACGTTCGTTTCCTATCCAATCAACGTTCAGCAAACTGGCAAATTAAGAATCGCTTAGCGACTAACCAATTAATTGAAATTACAATAAATACTGTGATGTAATAATAATAAGAAGAATTATAAGAATTATAAGAATTTGTATTTATAATTATGAGGTTAAGTAGGCCTACTTTAACACGCCCTGTTTATAAATTCACAACAGCCGCTTGGCGTGAGATCGAATTAGCTACGCTACATGTAAAACTACCACAAAAAGTCATTAATGCCAAACAGCATTACACCTTTGTCAGAATGTTTTTTTACTCAGTATTATTATATGTTGTGTTTATTTTATTTTGTAAGATTTAATAATTCCTAATCTCAAAAGTTTTAATAGGCTAACTATAGAAAAGTCGTTAATAAGCACATATCAATGCATTTTTTAATTGAACAGCATTTAAGTGAAGACTACAATCTTCATATGGGCTCTAAAATCCAGGTTCTTGAAATAAATGGCTAGCTATGTAAATAAATAAATAAATAAGAATGAATAGTTACTGAAAAGAGGCCTCCAAATGATCTCTTTCTTGAACCAAATCAATATAAGTCTGCTCTCCACTTTTTTATAAGTTGATTATATTTAGTTAAAGGTAAGACAAAATGTAACTGATTGTCAGGTTACATAAACAACAGCCTAGCAGAAGAGAGCCAGCGGTGTCCATATTTTCATAAAGAATAAAGTTTGATATTGCAACTGAAATAAATCAGGTATAAAATATTCATAAGTGCCAGAAAAGAGCAGAATTATTAGCGAATTGTTCTCAGGTTTTTCGAATATCCACCCATTCTTCCAACGTAATTACGGTCATTTCATCTAACTTGGAAAGTCGTTCAAAATATTGAAAATGTCTTTGGAACATTTTCATATTCAAATTCAAGTCTACACAGAGGATTTAAAAAAAAAGGGTATACATATTTTAAAAAGAGAGAGAGGGAGTTTAGGTCTGCCTACCTGGCGGGGAGAGGGGGGTCGGCCTTGCCGGCTACCAGCCAGGAGGAGCGGTGGTAAGCGTATCGGTAGCGCTTGTTGTCCACTGGGACAATGTCCATCAGCACGATGTACTTGGAGTCCTGGTCCACCCCGGAGAAAGAGACTCGAATGGTTGGAAACATCCTCCTAATGGTGTTTTGTTAGAGCAGAAAGAAATAATTGCTGAGTTAGAACACTGGTCTTTCTAAATGTAGCGCTTGCTAAAAAGATAATAAAAATAAATAAAGTAAATGCACAGTTAACTTTTTTTTCGGATATTCACAAACAGTTTGTGTTTTCAAGCCATACTCAGTGCAGGAATACAGTATATATATATATATATAATAATAATATATATATATTATATATATATATATATATATATATATATATATATAATATATATATAATTAATTTTGTGAATAAGGTTCACATCGACCAGCTGCAGTGTCTGCCTTTATGTTACAGTAACCTGCGGTGTGTTTTTCAGGTGGCTCTTGGGTCAGTGAAACATTAGATCACGGTGTAAATGTCCTTTCACAGCACCTGCGGGAAGTCATCAGATGTCTGCAGCTTCCTGTTTAGATCGCTGCTCTATCTAAAGAAAAGTCAGACAGAGCTGCAGAAGAGCTTTATCCTAATTTTATTTTTTCAACTTTCAAAAGGCTCACAAAGAAGTTCCAAACAAAAACGAACCATAATTCATTTCTCTATTTGTATTTCTCACAATATCGTCTTTTATTTTTCTCTCACCCGTCTATTTTTCTGATATATTTATAGCCTATTTATGGGACAATAAATAGGTTACATCAAAATATGAAAATAAAATTAGTTTACCTTCCAGATTTGGTGATGATCATCTCAGTACCGAGCTCGTGAAATTTGTCCCACAGCTCTTTGGTCTCAAGACTGCACGAGATCTTCGCCATCTCCTCGCTTGGGATGCCTGGATTGGTGGGGATGAGCGGCTCCGTGCACACGGCGGGTGCGCTGAAGTCCCCATGCCCGTCCAGGGAGGACAGGTCAGCCAGGGACTGCTGGTTGCAGGAGGACTTCTCCACGAATTGCTCTGTTTTATTTAATTTAGGTGGATTTGTGGAGAAACAGGGATGATTATTCTCATTTGATTTTGATGTCATCAGGAACAACTGCAAGATTTTGTCTTAAACAGGGAAAGCAAGTATGTAACCACATTCTGCTAAAATATCCTGCTATGCTGTTGTGTTGCAGCATAATAAATGTAATAAATCTTTTTATTATAATACCTCATTTCTACTAGAGCGACTTCTATCATGGATAAGGTCAAATAAAATAAACACACATATCAGCTCTGTAGAACACGTCTGTCGTTAATGAGAAGAAGCACAATTTACATTCTTACAGAAAATCTGAAAATTAAAGTGTAATACTTGTCTGACATGCCTGCTTTAAAAAAAAGATATTTTGGAGAAGCAGTTCGTCTTTTGATTCGATTGGCAAAACAAAATATAAAGAATTAAAAAAGAAAATGCTCTTTAAAATACAGGGAAATTAAATGTTGGAACAATGAATGCGCAGGGTCAATTTAGAGCCTTTTTATTTGCAATCATTTAAATATTAAAAACTCTTTCATTGAACACATTGGTTACTTTTTGATTAACGTATATAATAAATTGCATGGATGTTTACTGTCACTCTATGTATCCTCATGAATTTCCTTTTACATTTTACAGACTAGAACCTCACCTCACTGCTTTCACAGTTCATCTTTATTTAATTTGTTTCTTCAGCATTTTCCTTTTATTATAACGCATCGTTATTTGTAAAATAGTGACTGATTTGTTTTACGGTTCCACATTTTTGAGGTTACAAACGCCATTCGTTGATAAACTCGCTTTTATTATTGGATGTTTAACTGCAATTCGAAGTAATTCGAAAGTGTAACCCCAAAACTAAACTCACGTTGAGCCTGTTTAAGTTTTCTGATTTAATTCTTCAATTCTTCTCTTACCCAGAGGCTTGATGGTGTTCTCCTCCGCCTCCTTGTCCTTATTGGGCTTCCCGCTGGACATCAGGGCTGCTATGGAGAAAGCATTTGCCCGGGATGAGAGCTGCGGTTTCGGGGATGAAGTGTACTCCATGTTGGTGAAGAGACTGGAACAGAATATTCCCCTTTGAATAAGGAAAAAAAAATCCCCAGAAAGGCTTAACTCCGCCTGCTTCCAACTGCCAGCGACGTAAAGAAAAATGTGCAGGGAAATACGCAAAGTTTCTCCTCGATTTCGGCCTTTCTGCGCAAATACTCAGCTGTAAAACTTGTCACTTCGGAAACGCTTGTCACTGCCGAGTTGAGAGTCTTGCTGGATGCATGGTGAGAGAAGGCGGAGGAGGGCTGACTCCACAGACTTGTGCGCGTCCTGCAGTGGCAGATCTGAGGCCGGCTGCTCTATGGGACGCTTCACTCCGGCTCACCCTCCCCTTATAATTCCAGTCTGTCCTCCAATCGCTGCCTCTGTCTCCACGTCACAGTCCCACTGTCCCACAGCCACCCTGCTACCAGGCAGCCAATTAAATACCCTGACAGGGTTTCCTTTTCATGCCAAAGACCCCATATACAGAGAGAGTGTGGTTGGAGAGGGCTGATGTGAGATTTTTATGACTGTCTGTATTCGGGTGATGACAGAAGGAAACGACAAACATATGGTTCGGAAAATGTAATTCTTTGCTGTCATTGCACAACACAAAGGAAAGAAATAAACAGAGAAATGTACTTTATATTTGGAGCCCTCTCAAGGACCCCCACCAGACCACATGTCGGGAACCACAAACCCAAAATGTCAACAACAGAGATTTTCCAGGAGATGTTTGCCCAAGATGGAGCTATTTGATAATTAATAGCAGAAGTGAGATGATGAGGAAAGCTTAACATACACAATATCTGCTCCTGTCACAATTATGAATTGATATGAAAGAAACACTGAAGCATTTTAGTCACATTTTTTTAAGTGGTTAAAACCTTTTTGGGTCACTCTTTCTTTTGAGTACTAACCATCCTTTTGAGATGACTGGGTGTTCCATATATTAACCCCTTCCTGCAGTGCTGCCTGGTGTGTGAACACACTCACTCACAATTCATTTATAGATGAAACTATCTATTCATGCCAGAAGTTATCATTTTTTGAGTTATATAGTTGTTCTGTAATTTAAAAAAAAATCTTCCACAATGATTTCATTGTCTTACAGCTGACCCCAGCCCCACTTCAAGCTCAATAATTGTGGCTCTGTGTTGTTTAATGGGAATAACAGCTAGCACATCCAGCAACAAAAGAATGCTAAATATGGCCCCAAACTACAACTGGACAAGTTAGTGAGGTTTAAATATATATAAAAAAACAAAAGCGTAAAATTACGTTGTTATTGCTGTTAAAGTTGAAACAATGAGATTATTATGATTTATAAAAGGAGTCAACGTGAACATGAATGAGAAATTTAATTTTAGGTGGAAATTAGCCCAAATTTAAAAATGTATTAAGTCTAATTTATTTTAAGTCTTTTTTATTTACTTGATTAGCAAATAATATCTTTGGCTGACAGCAGTGTAATACCCTTTAACCTTTCCAAATCCAGACAAAGTCCTCTGAACTGAACTCCAGTTTAACCAGGAGCACCAGTCCATGGATTTCTGCCATCATTTTTGGTACTTCTGCTTTTCTGACACTGGCATAATGCCCAAGTCTTAATCCTAATTCTAACCTGAATTAAGAATGAACCCACCATCAGCCCTCTGAGGGTGCTTTACAAAATGGAACAACTAAAATGTCCACACTTTCCAAAGGTCTAAAACTTACACCACTGGTCTGCACAAAGATAGCCTTAAGCACACACACACAGGGACCTTACTGAGTGCTGGAGGTAATCCATTCTATGACACACACCAGTAATCACCTAATCTTGAACACACACAGTTTTCACGTGACAACAGGAAATTCACATTATTTTTAAGAGGCCCACCAGCAGGTCTACAAGTCCAGCCTGTAGTCTATACTGCAGGTCTGCCAGGCTCAGATCCCCTACTGTTATCATCTTATTACTGTCCTTAGTCACTCATTCAATCTTATATCAAAGAAGAAAGCTTTCAAGACAGATTAAATAAATCTTTTTCCTTTTATTTCCCTTGCTTTTAACTTGATAGGGACTGAATCCGGTCTAGACGTCACCTAATGGAGAGTGTTTATCAAGACAATTTCTTTTTTTTTCTTCCTGGATACACAACATCTGCACTGCTTGATTCACTAGCAACCAATCACAGAGACCACTGGCAGCCACAGCTGAGCTCGGAAAACTGAGATTTCGAAGAGCACCTGAAAGCATCGTATTTCTGAAGTGCTGACTACATTTTTTTTTCTAAAGGTGTATCTCTTTCTCTCCTCTCTCAGTGTGTGTGTGCGAGTGTGTGTCCTCAATGTCACTCTCTCTTCTCTCTCAAAGATGGAAGCTTACATAAACACTGAGCCAGAGCTCTGCCGGGCAGCTAAACCCATTAGGAGACTCCTGAATGCAAATCCGCTGCTGCAGATATTTAATAAGAGACCTGCGCTGGCAAATTAGATTACCTTGCAATTGCTAGTGGATAATGTGCTAAAAGCTTTCCCACTTAAGCGTTACTCCTTACTGAATATTATTCACACTTTGAGGGGCCGGTGCAGCCTTAAAGAAGCAGACGGCCTGGAAGTGAGACACAGATGGTGGTTAGACTTGGTGCCTGAATACAAGATGAGTCACAGAGAAAACAGAAAAAAATGTCTGTGTGGCTGATTCAAAGCCAAATGACCCAAAACCTGCCTCAAAATCTTGGGCTAGATTGAAAAAGCATTGTTAAGATTTACTCTTTATAAAGTATATAACCTACATCAATGTTTAACAGTTTTAACATCATTTTAAGATTAACACACACCCTCCAACTCTGCATTTAAATCTTTTCTGATCTTCACCAAACTTTACATTAAATATTCCCTAAAAATCTTATTACCTATAAACATACGAGAGACACTTTCAATGTCCTAAACCGAAGAAGACCATTATGGCATTAAGCTTAAGGAACAAGCACATCTACACTGAGTCCATGTTTGTTCATATTTAGTCTTTCGGTAAACACACTTAAGGAGTTAATGTGATCATTAAAGAGAACTCGAGTTGTTGCCACTGTACTGAAAAAGGGTTGTGCTTAAATAACACAAATACTTTTTGTTTATATTTTTGGTTTGTTTGTTTTCAAAGTTTATGGACACATTTATTTTTTAAAACATTTTGAGATCTGGATCAACTTCCTGTGTTGCTCTAGATTTGATTCATATCCTATCTCAGTTTATGAAATTCTTCATATGTATCTGCATTCTTAACAAAATTGGTGGTTTGCACCATGAGTCTTCAATCTAGTTGACGGTTTCCTAAACTGACTCCTCGCAGTCTGATAAAAATAAACATGGAGCAAATTAACAACAGTAACATGGAGTCAATAAAGAAATGAGGAACTTTTATACTTATTGCATGTTTGAGTGTAAAAACACACCTCTTTTCAGTGACTTTTAGTCATAAACTGTTGAAAGTACCTCAACAAAAGTTTTCAAGGAAAGACTAAAACTGTCATTTCACAGGTTTCTTTAAAAATAAGAAAGAACAAAATCCTTGACCCAATACAAGTGTTTGCAGTGCTTTCCTGCGACGTATCAGTGGCAGGAGATAACAGGATAGGTGACATCTCACCACAACGAGAGCCCCAAGCACTCAGGGATATGACAATGAAACCATCTAAACAATTATTCCTGGGGATAAATGGCCGCCGTGTGAAAAGGTCAGCAACAAACGACAGCCAATTCCCCGCAGAGTGGAAACTGAGTAAAAATAATCGCCCTGTGATTGAATTGAATCCTGGGACATTTGAGCCACAGTAATGAAATGGCTGTTGTTGTGACCCAACCCTTTCACCTCCCTGACGATTTTTTACCAGATTACAGGGCAGGCAGCAGGGGCGACTATTTGCCTACAGGAATATATTTAATATATGTGCATAGGTTTGTTTTGCCAATGTAAATCCCAATTATCACAGCTACTTCTGCATATTACATGTCTTTGTTCACCTACAGGGCCCGAAGGGGCACGGGGGGGGGCTGAGAAACCTGATTTATGCACAACCAGTCATAGCCACCGTTAATGGCTGTACTTTAACAGCAGTGTGTATACCTTAGTATGAAGCTTTTTCTAAACGATCTAATTTACATATATTTTATTATCTTTGTGCATCAAATTCCAAAGATGCTCTCAAACAGAGATGGAACATAATACAATACTACATACATATATTACATTGTTATGTTGTACATTGTATACCAGTGTTTCTGCTGAGTGGGCATGATCAGAAGAGTTGTGAATGCCTGCATGATCATCCATCCGAACCATAAAGAGCATCCCTCCTTCTTTGTTAATGTTCTCTTCACTGTTTTTGACTAAAATTGACCAAGAATGTGTGGAAAACATGTGGTTTGTGAACATTTTTGCACCCATGCATTCGGATTTTTCAAATTCTCATTATCCACTGTAGCATTAGAACTATTAATGGTCATCAGTGTTTTGAAAACACTTTGGTACTTCAGGAGAAACTCCACACTGACACTTTTTGTAAGGTGATTTTGTCATTAAGGTGCTGTGGTTGACAGATGAAATGCTAAACATATATTGACAATGAAAGTGGTATTTAAAAATTAAGATACGTCTGCTATATTTATTAGATATTGCAGTAGTTTTGTAATAATATTTAACCACAGTAATTGTGGTAGATCTGTATTATTGAACAGCTAGTATAGCTATTGTCTATTACAAAAACATATTGTAGAATTTAGTTAGAAATTTCTTTTGAAAAGTAAAAGTCAGTGATGGTCACATGTAGTCTCCCAGTTTCTTGTTTGTTTAGGTATTAAACCACTATGCCACTAGAAGTCAAGTATAGCCACCCACCTACTAATATTTCCATCCATCCATCTTCTTCCTCTTATCCAGGGCCGTGCCGCGGGGGCAGCAGCCTCAGCAGAGAAGCCCAGACCTTCCTCTCCCCATCCACCGCTTCTAGCTTGTTCAGGGGAACACAAGGCACTCCCAGGCTACCCGAGAGATATAATACCTCCAGAGTGTCTTGGGTCTGTCCTGGGACCTCTTCACAGTGGGACATGTCCCAAACACCCCACCCAGGAGGCGCCCAGGAGGCATTCTTGTCAGATGTCCAAACCACCTCACTAGCTCCTTTCAATGTGGAGGAGCAGCGGCTCTACTCAGAGCACCTCCTGAATGGCTAAACTTCTCACCCTATCTCTAAGGGAGAGGCCAGCCACCCTTCAGAGGAAGCTCATTTCCGCCGCTTGTATCTTGTTCTTCTCACTATCCACAGCTCGTGACCATAGGTGAGTGTAGGGACGTAGATCGACCGGTAAATTGAGTGCTTCGCTTTTACACTCAGCTCTCTCTTCACCACGACGGAC